TGAGATTCCCACTTTGCTTTTGATATATGAATGCTTCTCAACTTTTTTATTCACTGTTGTCTTTCACTTTTTCATTTTGTTTTCGACTCTGGGGATGCTAAGCATAATAGGTTATTGTGTCTTGTTGAAAATTTTCCTTTCAGCACGCCGACACATCCTAAGCATGAGAATGGACAAACTAAACCTATTATATTGGATTGGGTTTCAATGGAAGGTGATCGATTAGATTACGGTTCTTTTTTTGAGCAAGATGCGAGGGGGCAAAACTGACAAACTTACTTGTGCCATGCATCAATATTATTTATGTATGCAAGCGGCTGAATATGATGAGTTAATATTATTAAAGTGGCTCAAATTATACATTGGGCTATTGATGATAGATTTACTTTTTAACAGTTACCATGGATGCCTAGCACATTTGCCATGAATTTATGTTTTTATGAGTAAAGTTTGTCAAGGGAATATATAGGATGTGTTATGCTATTTTGGCTCTGGTCTTTTATTCTACTTAAAAAAAAAGCTTGCTACCATTGCTCCTCCGCTGCGCTTGGTACTTCTTTTTTTGCCCCTAGACGCATGTATTTTCCTATTAGAGTCAATCATGTTTAAAGCACTGTTAAACACTAAATATAATGTATTTTAATTTATCATATTGTGAGGAATTAACTTATTCACTAGACCCAACCCTTATTCATCACTAGATACTTTTTCTTAACGTTAACCCTATGCTTATTTAAAAAAAAAAATCAACCCTATGAGTGAAATAAATTGGCGTTGGGGATAAGGAATTGGGCTAAAACATGAATTGGGCTATGACTAACCTGAGGATAATAAGCCTGGAGATATGATAATTTAGCTTATGAGGGGTGGAATAGAACAAGTCATCAAGGCATTTAGATGAGGCATGATGGGGAGAAGGATCTCTCCACTTCCTTTCCTTTTGTCCATTTTCTTCAACTTCCCATCTTAATAATAAGATTACAATTTGAACAGTTCAAATTTTATACTCCTTCGGTTCTAAATATAATATCCTTTTTACACTACAAAAAAAGTTTTATATTTAAGATCAAAAGAGTATCTTATAAAATTATGAATAAAATGTTAAATTTTTAAAAAAGTAAATAAAATTAAACTACTAAATTTTAACCATGATTATTTAAAATAATAATAAAAATATTTTATAAAATTTTTATATAATATGAGATCTAAAGGGTTTAAGTTGCAATCTCAATGACTGAGATGTGAAATGGATTGAAATAAAAGGGAAGGCAAGTGAAGAGACCTCTCCTGTGATCTCTTCTCTCTGAATTGTATCTGCTTCTCTTCTCTTATGAACCTTCTTTCTCCTCTCTATGTAGCCGCTACTCCTTCTTCATTTTATCAATGTCTCTTTCCTTCTGAGATTTTCTATGTGAATGTTGCTTTGTGTTTTTCTAAGTGATTGTAGCTAAGAGTTCATGGAGTTCTAATCGGCTGAGAGGTGAGTTCATAACATGATGCTCATTCTCAAGCAAGCATATGGTTACAAAACAGGAGGTTCAGTCTCTGCTAATCAAGAGAGGGAAGTCGAATGGACAGATTGGGATTTGTTAATCCTAGTTTGTAAATTTTCTATTTATCTTTTTTTTTTTGGAAATCAACAACACAAATTAGTCTTCTAAGAATTCATTTCAAAGATTCAAATGACATTCATTTTAAAATCATAACAAGGAAAAGAGCAATATGGTTTGGGGATCCATTGATGCTTTTGTTGAATAATTGCTACAATCATTGATCTTATCGCCTCCGAGCCACCACATCCCCGATCGCCTCTATCTCGTCATCTACTGCTCCAAGATATCGTTGAGTCACAAACTCTGTCACATAAGGGTGTTTAGGGCTGTCAAGATTCAAGAAGAGGAGAAAGCAATCCATTTCAAAGATTCAAATGGAGATTCGTTTTAAAATCATGAAGAGAAAAGAAGTAATATACTTTTGGTGTTCAAATGGAGATTCATTAGACTTCTCTGTAGTTGCACATCTTTGATTGCCTCTGAGCTACCACGTCCGATCACCTCTGCCTAGTTTGGTGACAGATTCAAGCGAAGAAGGGGGTTTAAGATTCAAGAAGATGAATAGTATCAAAGATGGGAGTTTCGCAATCTAAGGAGGAGACTTGAGAGGTTTAGAGTCTTTTAGCACACAAGCCTAACAACATAACAGAACTCTAAAGCCCAAAACAATACAGGAATAGCCAGCTAGCCCTAAGCACCTTTATGATGTTTTTCACTTCTTTAACACGTGTCCAATACTACTCATATTGATCCTTCTTGCCTTCTGCCTATAAATACTAATGTAAATGGGCACTGATCACGTGAAAAATACAATAGCAATACAAATAATTGTTCTCCAATATTTATTTTTGTCTTATTTTTATAGTTAGAACTCTATTATGGTATCAGAGCCACTTGGCTCTTTACCATGAGTCACCAACGTCTTCCTCTGCTACCTCTACTACTACTGTTCCTTCTACCACACCTACTGTCTTTCCTTCTAATGTCTCTAATTATATTACTATGAAGCTCACTCTTGATAACTACTTAGTATGGAGAGATCAAATGCTTTCTTACTTATATGGGCAATGCCTTTTCTGTTTCATTGATGGCTCCACCACCAACTAAAGCTCCAGATGGGTTACCCAATCAAGCATACATCAAGTGCTTTGAGCAAGATCAACTTGTTGCCTCCTTGCTCATTGCCTCTTTGTTTGAGAAGCTCATTGCATAGGTTATGCGCCACAAAACATCTAGAGCTATGTGGCTTGCTCTCGAAACATCCTTCTCTCAACAGTCTCAAGCTAAAGTCCTACTTCTTCAATAGTAGCTCACATCTTTAAAGAAAGGAGGAGAAAGTATCCTAGACTACTATAATCATGCCTCACTACTCACTAATTCCTTAGCTGCTGTCAGAAGTTCAGTATCAGATATTGATTTTAACACTTATCTTCTGGGAGGATTAGGCATTGATTTTGATTCGGTGGTTACAGTGTTAAGCACTTTTAGAGCACATTACACTCTTGAAGATGTTCTAAGCTATTTACTGACATATGAGGCTAGACAAAAGAATGTGTTGAAAAATCCTGTATCTACCGTAATGGCAAATGCAACAACCCACACTTCTCTCTCTCCTGTGCAGTAGCCTCCGTACACTAGGTATGGTGGTCGTGGTTATTTCTTTAGAGGTTGTGGTGGTTGCAACTTTAACTATTTTGGTGGCCGTATATCTATATGAGGGGGGCGCAATGCTCGAGTAGGCACTCTTCTCTTCACACACAAGTTGAAATACTGTGTTAGGTCTGCAAAAAACCAGGCCATAATGCCAAAAGCTACTACCATCGGTATGATCACAACTACCAAGCTCCTAGACCCAGCTTTATTTCCACTCACTATTCTGTTTTTCCACCATTGATGGATGACACTTTATGGTATCCTGACACTGGTGCCACCAACCATATGACCTCCTAACGCTCAAATCTCAATATTAGCTCTACTCCTTATGTTGGTACTGACTCGGTTTGTGTCGGCAATGGTGCTCCACTTCCTATTCAGAACACTGGCTTTGGTCTTCTTCCAATACCCACTAGCAAATATCTTCTAACCCAGCTTTTACATGTTCCTCAAATTTCTAAAAACGTCTTACCTGTTTACTAATTCTGTTTAGATAATCATGTCTTTTTTGAGTTTCATGCCCATTGTTTCTTTGTGAAGGATTCATAGACCAAAGCCATTCTCTACCACGGACCAAGTTACAATAAACTCTACCCTCTTTAGCATCTTCACTCTGTGTTTCCTCCTTCAACTTGTGTTGGTGAACGCACCTCTCTCAATCAATGGCACACTCATTTGGGTCATGCAGCTCATCGTCTAGTTCATCAAGTGGTCACTTTCAACTCTCTTCCTATCTCATCTACTCAAGTTTCCAGTCAATGTCTTGCCTGTTGCACATCCAAGAGTCATCATCTCCCCTCTTCTCCACTCAGCATCGTTCCATTAGGCCTTTAGCTTTAATTTTTTGTGATGTATGGGGACCCTCCCCTGTAGTTTCTGTTAACGATTTTTGCTACTATGTTAGTTTTGTTGATGATTACTCTAGATACATTTGGTTGTTTCCCATCAAAACTAAAAATGAAGTGCAGTCTGTTTTCTTATCTTTTCACACTCTTGTTGAAAATTTGTTTAATTCTAAAATTCAATATTTTCAATCTGACTGGGGAGGTGAGTTTCGACCACTGTATAAACTCCCTTCTTCTTTGGGCATTCATCACCGCATCACGTGTCCGCACACTCACACTCAAAATGGCACAATTGAGCATAGGCACCGAACAATTATGGAAAAAGGTCTTACACTTCTTAATCATGCTCACGTGCCTCGCTCTTACTGGATGTATGTCTTTGGCATTGCCACTTTCCTAATAAATCGCCTTCCCAGTCCTACTCTCCACAATAAGAGTCCTTATGAACTTTTACACCATACAAGACCGGACTATAAATTCTTATGAGTCTTTGGTTGCAGCTGTTGGCCCAATCTTTGTCCATACAACACGCATAAGCTTGACCCCAGATCCAAATTATGTGTCTTTCTTGGTTATAGTACTAATCACTTGGGTTACATTCGTTTGGATTTATCCACAGGTCGGTTATATTTGTCTAGAGATATTCTTTTTGATGAATCTTTTTTTTCCTTTTCAAGCCCAACAACAGCCCGTAGAGCCCACTTCTTCCACTCCTACCTCTTTACCTTTTATTTCTCCCATTCATGACTAGATCCATACTTGGCCACCTTCCCCTGGGCCCATTCTCCCTCAAAGACCAACTCCCTACCTCACCGAACCTTCCTCTCCAAACCCTATCTATTCCTTACAGTCACCTCTAACCTCTCCTTCTTTAGCGTCTCCCTCTCTCTCTTCTAACACGCCAATCTCTCCCTCCTCTCCCGCTCCACTTCCATAGCCTACCCATCCCATGATCACTAGGTCTAAAGCTCACATCTCCAAGCCTAAGATTCCTACTGATGGTACCATTTTCTGGCCTCTACCGAAAGCTCTCATTATCACCTCCTCTGTCTCTATGCCTCGTTCAGTCTCCGAGGCTCTCAAATCACCAAAATGGCAAAACGCCATGGCCACCGAGTTTCAAGCTCTCCTTGACACCCGAACATGGACCTTGGTTCCACTGTCTCCTTCTCTCAATGTGATCAGTTGTAAGTGGATATTTCGCATCAAATTTTCTCCCTCTTGTTCGGTTGACAAGTTCAAAGCCCGACTTGTTGGCAAGGGCTTTCATCAACAGGAAGGTGTTGATTTCTTTGAAACCTTCTCTCTAATTGTTAAACCAGTCACAGTCCGTGTGATTCTCTCTATTGCTGTCTCCTGAGGTTGGTTCTTGTGCCAAATTGATATTCAAAATGCTTTTCTTCACGGACTTCTTACTGAAGTGTCTATAGGAGTTAGCCTCCTAGGTTTGTTCATCCTGACTATCCGCATCACGTCTGTAAGCTTCAAAAATCTCTCTACAGTCTCAAGCAAGCTCCTCGTGCTTGCTTTGGTCGTTTGAGTAACTCTCTCCTTGCACTTGGATTTGTTGCTTCTCGATCTGATCTCTTTTTGTTCATCCTCAATTCTTCTACCTGTCAAATATATCTGCTTATATATGTTGATGACATTATTATCATTGGATCATCCGATGCTACCCTGTTTGCCTTCATTAATATTCTGAGCTCCTCTTTTCCGATCAAAGACTTGGGTCCCTTAAACTATTTTTTGGGTATAGAGGTAATCTGTAGGCCCGATGGTCTTCTGCTTTGCCAATGAAAATATATTAATGATCTTCTAGTCAAAACAAACATGCTTCATGCTCACTTTGTCACATCTCCCATGGCTGTCAATACCAAATTAACAGCATCTAGTCCCATATTCCACAATCTGAGTCTTTATCACAGTGTTGTTGGTAGTCTCCAATACCTCTCCTTTACTTGTCCTGACATTTCATTTGCTATCAACAAAGTTTGCCAATTCATGCACAATCCCATTGAAACCTATTGGTCTGTTGTGAAACGAATTTTACGCTATTTGTGTGGCACCTCCCATTTTGGTCTAGTTATTCACAGGTCATCTCAGTTTAATCTCACCACTGCTGCGACCTTCATTGAAGCTTATTTTGATGCGGAGTTGTCAAACCAATGGCCGCTCCACTAGTGGCTTTATTGTTTATCTTGGTCCTAATTCTATCTCCTGGAGCTCTAAGAAACAACCTATTGTCTCTCACTCAAGTACTAAATTTGAGTACTGCTCTCTTGCTACTGCTACATGTGAAGTCATCTGGATTCAAAATCTTCTTGGAGAACTTGGGATCACACTGCCTGACCCTCCCACTCTTTATTGTGATAACTTGGGTGCCACTTATCTTGCTGCAAATCTTGTGTTTCATTCAAGAACCAAACATATTGCTCTTGATTATCACTTTGTCCGTGAACGTGTTTCTGCCATTTCTGCCAAGTCACTCAGAGTAGCCATTGTCTCCTCCAAAGATCAAGTTGCTGACATATTCACCAAACCTTTTGTGGCAAATCGCTTTCACTGGCTCCGATTGAGTCTAAATGCTCATCTTGCCTATTTGGACTCGAGGGGGCAGATTAGCACACAAACCCAACAACATAACATAACTCTAAAGCCCAAAACAATACCAGAATAGCCAGCTAGCCCTAAAGCACCTTTCTAATGTTTTTCACTTCTTTAACACGTGTCCAGTACTACTTATACTGATCCTCCTTACCTTCTATAAATACTGATGTAAATGGCCACTGTTTATGTGAAAAATACAATAGCAATACAAATGATTGTTCTCCAATATTTATTTCTGTCTTATTTTTATAGTTAGAACTCTATTAGAGTCAAACAGAAGAGAAAAGACGAGGGGTTTTAGAGTCCAGAAAACGCAGCGTTTTGCACGCTAACATCATATTGGAAGGCGTAAACGACTGGTGGTCCCAAACTCCCAATGATAATGTCACTTGTACTCGGCAGTGCAAGTAATTGTAACACTGCGGGAGAGAATATTCAAGGAATCTTGATTGCTAGAGATGATAATGAAGAAGGATGTCAATGTTTATTCTATGTCCTTATTTAAGCGAAAACTCAGAATTTTGTTGACACTTTTCAATGAATTTTTATGTATTAAAAGTGGTTAAAAGTAATCACAACCTTAATCAAGAAAAAATGATAAGAAAATACTATTAAAATTACTGAATTACAAGGTATGGTGTGTGAATTTTAAAGTTTCAAATCAGTTTTTTTTTATACTATTTTGAAAATTTAAAAATCTTACGACATGACGCAACTACCTTTACTCCCCCCCCCTTCCTTCTAATCTTCTTTTAAGAATAGCATCTAAGAACTCCTAATTGGAAACTGGGTGTCGGAACTTCAATGCCATGATCCCTTTGGTTGCATGTTGTTAGAGCTCCAGTACATACACTTGTTTACCTATATTAATATATCTTATTTAACTGTTGACTATTTTTATTTCTTGAACTTTGGTGACTATTTTTATTTAGTTATTAACTATTCTTGTTTAGCTATTTTTTACTCTAACTATCTATTTACTACCTTATGTTTCAAAAATTTGAAAAATGTATCAGGAGCTCTATTGACTGCTTTTGAGAAACAAGAATAGTCATCAATAATGAAATTAGAATAGTAAATAACTAAATAAAAGTAGTCACAGAGCTCTAAAAACAAAAATAGTTAATATTAAAACTAAAGTAGTTAGTAGCTACATAAAAATATAAAGCTCTAAAAACAAAAATAATCAGTAGCAAAACTCAAGTGGTTAATAACCAAACAAAAGTAATTACCAAAAGTACAAGAGCAATAGTGTCATTTCACAATATTCACAAATTTTAAAGTAGCACGGGAGATCTCTTTAGGAAAAATCCTAATAAAATACAGTTGAAATATCTAAATTCAAATTAAGACCTACACTTTCAATAAATTCCTAATTAGGACATAAGCCCTAATTTAGAATTTTTGTATATTGTTAAATGATCAGAATGTCTCTCTTTAATTAAAATGAAAAAATTAATTATTTTACTCTCCTGAATGATCTCTCACTTCTTATAATTATTTTTGGACCAAAAGACACATAAAATCTTTTTACAGTGTTTAAAATCTGTATATATAACTAAAATCTTCAAAAATATTTTAAATTTTAACATAAATAGCCTTCAAATAAATAATTTTTATTTTATGTTTTTAAATATTTATTTTAAGATCTTAAAATATTTTTATTACAAAAATATTTAATATTATGTTCATATAATTTATTTTAGTTTTATTTAGGTAAACATTGGATTTCAACCCAAAAGCGTAATTTGTAACAACTTAATGTAAAATATTTCTTGTAATTAAAATATTTCAAAATCTTAAAAATAAATATTTGCAATGTGAAAAATAAAAAATATTTACCTAAAGGGTACTTAGGTTGTAATTTAAATTGTTTGATTAAAATATTTTTAAAATTTTTAGTTATATATATAAAATTTAAGTATTATAGAATTATTTATGTGTTTTTTGTCCCAAAAAATAATCATAATAGAAAAGAGAAACCATTCGAGAGGGGTAAAATAATCAATTTTTTTAATTAAGAAAGGGTTCTAGTCATTTAACAATATTCAGAAATTCCTAATGAGGTTCCATGGCCTAATTATAAATTTATCAAAAGTATAAACCTGAATTTGGATTTAGGCATTTCTATTGGATTTAATTGGGATTCTCCTATCTCTTTATCCACCATAATTTGTCATTTGGTATTTTTAATGGAGATTCGAAAGCAGATTTCAATATTGATATAGCTCATTACTGACACTAAATATAAATGAATTTGTTATCTAATACAAATAAAATTCTATAATTCTTTTTCTTTGACCCAAAAACTTGATATATAATTAATAATATTTAAGGGCATATGGAAGACGCTACTTGAATTGAAATATTGAATGGAGTTTTTTTTTTTTTTTACCAGAGAAATATTGAATGGAGTTTGAACCTGACTATATTATAATATTTTTATATAAAAAAAGGAACCAAGTTATCCATAGGTATAAATATTTTTTTGCCAACGGATATATAGGGATATATATAATAAATATAAATAATATATTGAATTGAATATAGCTAAATTCACAAGATGTTAGCAATCTCCAGACGCAAATTTCCGATGAAAAACGCGGATCACAGTCCCCATTCAATGCATGGCGGCACGAAAACCCTTCGAAACCTTCCTTTCTCTTACGTGATTGTGTTGCTGTCGTTATTCCAAATTCTTGTCGCTTGAAAATCCTGAACGAAACGAAGTTCTTATAACCTTTTTGACTGATTCGTCTTCGTCGTAGAATGAGCGAACTTTGTAAAATCAGTTTAATAGACTGGAGGCCTTCCCCGGTTGTATCTCTAGCGACCAGCGTTGATGGTTTGAAGGTCGCCGCCGCCCGTGAAGACGGCTCCTTGGAGATTTGGCTTGTCTCCCCCGGCTCTGTCGGCTGGCACTGTCAGTTGGTACACTGGCTTCTTCTTTTGTTTATGAGCTATTATTAATTTAATCGGTTATTAGTCCAGTTCATATGAGTACCTGATGCATTTAGCATGCCCCACGCAGACTATTCATGGAGACCCTAATGCAAGAGTGTCCTCACTTATTTGGTGCCCCGGGGGTTCACTCGGTCGATTATTCTCATCTAACATCGATGGTTCAGTTTCTAAGTGGGATCTTTTCCGCTTGGCACAGGAGGTGTGAGACAGTTGCTTTTCTTTACGATTTATCAGCTGCATTTCATCTGACTTTCTATTGTTTTGCATTTGGAATGGAACCCACGTTCTGCTGACATGAGTAAGCTTGAAGTATGGCTCATATCTTCTTGTCTTGTTGTGGCGGTTAATAAAGTGTCTGGGACCTTAATAGTTAATACAATGGCCTGGTCCACATATTTCAAGAATTTTTGAGACTAATAAAATTTTTGGGAAAACAAAACTTTTAGTCCTCAAAGTTTTACATAGTTTCAATTTGTTCCTTGTGTTTTAATTTGAGATTAGTTTGGTCCATATGATTTCAAAATGTCAAATAAATGGCCCTTATGCTTTGAATATGTTCAAACAAATGTCAAGCAATTGGTAGTCAACAACGGTAAGAATTTATTTGACGTCTATATGGTATTGCATGAGGACCATTTATTTGATGTTTGGGAACTCTATGGACCAAATGAATACCCCTTTTAAATTACAGGACGAAATTGCAAATTTGATGAAATTTTGAGGACCAACAGTTCCCTTTTCTTAACATTTTAGGAGCGTTAAATAGTACCAGTCTTGTGGCGTTAAATTGTTGAATTATGTTTCATTTTGTAACTAAAAGAATGTTTTCAAAATGCCAAATTTTTACACTGGTCATTGTCCATATGTCACCTGTGTTCCCCTTTGGTGATATGTTAATATGGCGCTTTATTTCTCGCCTTATCTGATAATGCTTTTGCAGACTGTGCTTCCTTCAGTTGGCTTCTCAATCTGGCAGATGGCATTAGCACCATCTAAGAGTAGTTGTATTAATACGGAAGCAGAGCCAGATCCTATGGGGAATGGACATTTATCTTATAGTAGGAACAATGATTGTGAAGAACATGAAACCAGTGAAAGCGATGAAGATTCTGTCTCACCTAATTCTCTTAAAGCAATTGAGCATCCACGTGTAGCAATGGGTTGTGATGATGGATGTGTGCGAATATATGCCATTTCAGACTCAGATGATTTCACGCCTACAAAATCCTTGCCTCGGGTCAGTGGTGAGATTTCTTCTCGAGTTATGAATTTTGCTACAGATGCTCTATTTATTCTGCTACGTTTCTATTAAGTGATTTCCATATTGTTTCAGGACGAGTTTTAAGTGTGACTTGGAGTACAGACACTAAGTGCGTATATTCAGGAAGTAATAATGGGTATGTATTGATACGAACATTGATCAATGATCATGTGAAAGTTCTAGGACATCTTTCACCTGTATATTTCTACTACTATATGAATATTTGGGCACCTTCCTCCAAACAGTGAAGTAAACGAAGCAGCATGATCTTCCCGTACTTTAATTTTTGGTACTAATTGATGAAATATGCTTACAATTCCTTGCCACCTTTGTTTCCTCACAGCTTGATAAGGTGCTGGGATGCTACACTGGGGCATGAATTGTACAGGATTACGGCTGGGCTTGGAGGTCTGGGCAGTGGGCCTGAACATTGTCTTTGGTCATTACTCTCCTTAAGGTAAAGAGCGAATGCTTCTGTTGAATCAAATGTCTCATTTTGATTATTCACTTTGTATTTTAACCATTGTTACTTTACTAATTTTGAAACTGAAGTATTAGCTGGCTATATATTATATGAAAACCTTTCTTGCTGATGGTTTTTTTTTTTTTTTTTTAATAAAGGTCTGGCACACTGGTTAGTGCAGACAGCAGTGGCAGTGTGCAGTTTTGGGATGCCCAGCATGGAACTCTCTTACAAACACATTCATTACACAAGGGAGATGTGAATGCTCTTGCCGCATCTCCTACTCATAACAGAGTGTTCTCTGCTGGCTCTGATGGCAAGGTACGGAGTTGCACAAGTTTTTCTTTATTATGAAACTGAACCAATTAGCATTCATACAGCGAGCAAGCATGTCATGACCTGTTAGTTTACGCTTGTATCAAATCAATATTGTGAAGAATATTAGTTGCTGGTAGCTTGTGCTTTTCAATAAAATCAAGGAGAATGGAAGAGGCTGTGAATGCTTAATCGCTAGTTCTTGGGTTTGTATAGATACAAAAGAAACCTTTGGGAGAGCTACCTCTGGCTTGAGGCCTATGTTGGATCAAATTCAGATTAGTCAAAGTCCAAAATGGCTTTGGATAATGGATTGTTTGTCACAAAAAAAGAAAAAGGAAAATCAAGGATAGCGAAGACTGAAGACTAATCAGAGGAGTACATTGATATTAGGAATTCAGACCATTTGAGTAGATTCAGCGAGTTAAAAGGGTTGACATGGGTATCTAATGAAGAACTAGATTAAAAAACATTGGAACATAACTGAACAAAATTAAATGATAATTCATTCAAACTATTGTTATAATTAACAGTAATTTTCTTGAATTACTCTAGGCATGTTTGAGGCAACAGAATAAAAAAAAAATCTTCTAGCTGCTCAAATTTGAATACTAGAATCTTTGTGAAACTTTAACAGTGCGGGGCAACATATCCTTAGATCCTATATTTAATTGTTGTTTTTGCCAGTTCCTAATTACTGATAGCCAACCTAGATCACCTTATTATTAAGATGCAAACGTTGAATCCCAGGCAATAGTCACTGTTAGAGATAATATAGTTATTAGTAAAACTCCTGTTAGCTTAGTGCTCGGGAATCAGGTAGTCCATGACAAGGTATTAAAGCCTCTATGTCCAAGTAGCCCCTAGTTTGATCACTGCCACCTCCTTCTCTTGAACCAAGTTAAATATAAAAGGCAAATTGATGCTTGTATTTGGTGTCTATTTTGACAGAGGTATCTTCCTATATTCCGTGAGTAAATCATATATGAAAAATTGCTGATCTCAAGTACTTTTAAGATATTATATCCTTTTATATTCATAACAACTAGGTAATTGTTTTGAATGCGATAAGGATGTTTTTAGTCTCAGGTATTTGATGTTGTCCTTATACAGTTATGTACGAGTAAATATTCTCCTGTTTTTACGTTTCGTCTGCTTTTCCTATTTCCACTATGGTGCCTTGTTATCCAATATTGAGTTTGTAGATCATGTTACATTATAATAATGTATATTTAAATTTTTCTATTGGAAGATTATCCTGTATAAGGCGTCCTTTGAGTCAGTGTCATCCAAGAATGTTAAGTCAGAATCAGTGAAGAGGAAATGGATCCATGTTGATTACGTGAGGGCTCATACACATGATGTCAGGGCCTTGACTGTGGCTGTACCAATCTATCAAGAAGGTTTGTCCTTGGATTTTAATTCTTCATTATTTCTTTATAGACAGTTTGTCTATCCCTTGTTATGCATGTGAATGAAATCTTATCGCTTGTCGATTTCAACTTCATCCATCAATTCTGTTCCTTAGTTCTATGCTTATTTTTTTATAGCTCACTTGCCATGTGGGAAAAGGAGAAGGCATACAAGAAGGGCTCGTTTTAGAGAACAACCGATTGATTTTAGTTACAGTAAATGGGCCCATTTGGGGGTTCCCATGCTGATTTCAGCAGGTGATGACGCCAAACTTTTTGCATATGGTGTGAAGGAGTTCACTAAGTTCTCCCCACATGATATTTGCCCCGCACCACAAAAAACACCCATTCAACTAGTGCTGAAAACAGTTTTCAATCAATCAGCAATCCTTTTAGTTCAGTCTTCTCATCGTTTAGATATTCTTTCTGTACAACCCAAAAAAAGTGTCTTACCTGATGTCACACATCTCACTGCTGGGGGCTTTGCAAAAACTGATCTGCTTGCTCAAGTTAAGAGCAACTCACCCCGGAAGATAATTTGCAGCACCATCGCTAATTCAGGTGTGCTATTTGCGTACTCTGATAATGTGAAGCCCAGTCTATTTGAATTGAAGAGGTCTGAAGTTTGGAAAAGTACATGGAGTGTTAACAAAAGGAAACTCCCTCGCAGACTACCTTTTGCTCATTCTATGGTTTTTACTCATGATTCCTCTCGGTTGATTGTAGCTGGGCATGATCGAAGGATATATGTAAGTGGGCACAAACCTTTGCTCTTTAAATTTTGTCTTTGTGAACCTCCAATCATAATTTTCTGTAAAAATATGGTGACTTCTATATTTCTATGAAAACGATTTCTTATTGATGTGTGCTCCGTGCAGTCTCTCTCTTGAGTGATTGGTAGGGTTGTTGACATGATGTGATTATTACACCTTTCCCTGAACACCAAATATAATAGTAATATTGGATGCTGTCAACTGGAGATATTTGTGTTATGTAGTACATACGAGTTGATGTTCGAAAGTGAAATCTTTGTCATACAATATATCATTTGTTGTCTCCCTTTATTGACCGTATTGACAAGGTTTAATATTTAAAGCTAAATTTGTATATGTTTGTATAATAAAATAATTTATTTTGAGAGAACATGCTTGCCTGAGGTTATCAGAAGTGCAAGGCTTTGGCAACCCTTAGGCGGTTGTGGCCCACATGCTAAGTCTTACTATATAATTATTGTATAGCCGTATGGTACATAGATATAAAACAGGCTGAATGCATGGCAAAGAAGAATGACAAAGATTGTTGGTTTAACCATTTAGGAGGTCATTGCTTCTATTCTCTGCTTTCCATTGCAGATGGATGTTTTACTTTCTTTCCTATAACAATATTTATCTTTCTTAATGTCTCATATGAACTAAGTCTAGAAATTCTTTTCTCCAAGTCTTGGTTCTTCTTTCTTCTTCCAACTTCTCATACCACATCTCATCCCTCCACTCTGTCTTAGCCATTGTTTTTTTTTTTTTTAATCATTGTTCCCGGTGAAACACTATCATTCTTTGATTTGTTTGTAACGCCAATTTGTAGCATAAAGCATTCAATATTTTAATTTTTTCACAAAGAACGGCTGCTCAGGTTTGGATTTGAGCTGCTTGTAGCTAAGTAGCTTGTTGCATTTGCTTTTATGTTTTCCTTAACTATTTATTTTGCCTTTTGTTTTAATATGAAATATGAGTGTTTTAACTTTTATTTTATGTATCTTTAGTGTCGAGATGTCAAATAAAAAGTATGAATAGTTGTAATAGTAATTCAATCTTAACGTGCTACTCTTGATAAATTTATTAATGATCATATAAAGGGGATGAACATTCTAAAAAGGTTTTAGATTTTAACAAATGTACTGATGTTGAAGATCTTGCTTTATTTTAAGAATTAAAGATATTGAGAGAAATTATTGACATAACTCTTACTAAGAGAAATGGCCATGCTTGCAATGATTTTTATTAGTGATTATTTTTCTTAATCACTTTATTACAGAATTTTAATGATTGACTTTATGGATTAAAAAAAAAAAGCATGAAAAATAATGTGAAAATTGATATGTCATGGTCGCTAGGCTCCGTAATAGTTTCACCTTCGGCTCTAGAATTTCATGACATGGGTTTGCAGAAGTGAAGGGATTATTTGAACCATTATGTCTCTGTGTATCTGTTCTGTTTTGTAGGTTGCGGACGTGGGCAGTTCAGGATTGGTGCATGTCTTTTCCCCATCCCGTGCGATGCAAGATGAGGAATTACCTCTTACCGAACCTCCCATCACAAGAATGTTTACCAGTTCTGATGGGCAGTGGCTTGCATCTGTGAATTGCTTTGGAGATATATATGTATTCAATCTTGAAACACTAAGGTTGCCCACTAAATATCTAATCTAATGATTTTGCCTTTTGAACCTTTCATTGCTAGGCTTGCAACTGGCTAGGCCATCTTGCTTAATAGAGGTAGAGAGCAAAAGGCACTTTTAGGAGGCACATGCATGTTGGTCCATTATCATTTTTTGAAATATTTTTCTTCGTCTGAGATGAAATAGTTGCATCTGATTTTCATGAGATTGAAACAAAAAATTGGTAAATTAAAATGTTAATTCTTTCTACAGGCAGCATTGGTTCATTTCTAGATTGGATGGTGCCTCTGTTACTGCTGGTGGTTTTCCTCCCAAGAACAACAATGTATTCATAGTTACAACGTCCTCAAATCAAATGTATGCATTGGATGTAGAGGCCAAGCAGTTAGGAGAATGGTCAATGCGGCATAGCATTGTTCTTCCAAGGAGATTCCAGGAATTTCCTGGTGAAGTTATTGGGCTCTCATTCCCTCCCTCCTCAAATTCATCTGTTGTTGTTTACAGTGCCAGGTAAACTAAATACTATGTATCAACTGTTCATTTATGTTGTCCTTCGGTAAATTATTAGTTAGGCTCAAATGTCACAAGGTCACAAGCTTGCATTAGTATTTTTGGCAAATTGGAAGCGGTAATTTTAATACTGAAGAAATTTGGTTAGTTTAGGCTTGTCTATAGCCATTTTTTTGCCTTTGGAATTGATTAAACTGACTTGAAATCAAAACATTATGGAGAAGTTAATTGTACGTTTATATGCTTTGCCTTCCTTGTGTTTGATTTCTGAAACTTGTTCTATATCTCCAGGGCAAGGTGTTTAATTAATTTTGGGTTGCCAGTGGAGCAAGGTGATGATGGTAGAAGGGATTTTGAATTTGTTTCATTTAAGGATCCTGTTTTATTTTTAGCACATTTTCCAGGAAGTTCCTTACTATTAATAGACAAGCCCTGGTTGGAAGTGGTTAAAAGTTTAGAAGCCCAGCCTGTCCACAGACATATTTTTGGGACATAACAGCTGCCATGGGGATGCAGCAAAAACCTTGCTTTGCTTATTATTGGAAATCATAGTTAGAGCCACGGACATGTAAACTTAGCGGGTTAATTTGTATGCCTCTGATCAATGCATTTTATGATGAAAAAATTTTCGTTCCAAAATAGGACAAAAATTTTGCAACGGATTTTAGGACTGAAACTGTTGTAAATTCGTCAGAAAGTTTTTTGCAGTGCCCTGTATTTGTGTAGCAATGGCCCAATATAAATTTCATCATTCTTTTAGCTTAGATTTGGTCAGTTGAATTGAGATTCTTGTTGAAATATCTTTGATATAACTGAACCCAAAACCAGATTTTAGTGATTCATGAGTTAAAATGAGTCAACCGATGAGTTAAACGTGTTGATTTGCTTAATCTACTATAAAAACCAGGGTGGATGATTATGCTGTTCAAGGAAGAGGAAAATTCATCCTCTTTTTTTTTTTTTTTTTCCAAGTCATAGCTTGATTTGTTTACAAGGTAACTGAGAGTTCTTTGGAAACGAAGCCTAAAATCAAATTGCTCTTTTGGTCCTTAGTGCTTTCGAGCTTCTCTAAGCTGGATTCATAGTTTGGGACCCCTTAAGCAATGAGCTTGCTATCCTTTTTGTTGAAACCTTTTTCTATAGGTTCCCACAACTCTTTTGATGCCTCTTTCTTTTCTTCTTTCTTATCTTCGTGTCCTCGGTCTTTTTCTTATTCAGTATCGTAACTGTGGAACTTTTTTACGACTAATATCATTTTGATTACTTACCAAAAAAGAAGAATCAATCTAAATTTATGAGAAAATCTTTCTGAGAAAACAAATATCGAGTAAAATGATGTATAAACCCCAATTCCTTGGTTAATTCTCAATCCCATCCATGGACCATTTAAGCTGTTTAGTGAGTCAAGTTTTGATTTATTAGTTGTTCGTTGCCTGTGATAGTTTGATATCTTTTGTTAGCAGACAAGGTCACCCAAGAATTGCGTGCAGATAAGAATTTTTTACCGTTAAACTTGAAAAAGCACAAGCGGCGCAACATTTCGCATCCATTTTTTGAATGAAAAATATTTAGGTCTTATATCTGTGATGTCAGTAAATATAAAGAAATTAATGTGAGTATTATTTCCATTGAATTACATATTATTATTATTACGGCTTATATTATGCTCTTCACTTGTTTATCTTTCATATTAGACAATATACCCCCACAAACACAAGGACTAATTTTTTTTTTTTAATATCCCTCCAAAAAACAAAACCTTTGAAGCTGCTTGGTACAACCGACAAATTAAGTGAAAAATAAGATAAAAAAAATGAGAACGAAAAGGATGGAAAAAACATAATGATCAGATAAGACGGAGACAGATAATTAATTTTGCAAACTCAGTTTTCCTCAACTCAGACTCGAATGCCCGAACCTTGATATTTTTTCTCAAGTGCCATTTTACTCTTTTTTCATGTGTGTATTTTTATCACTAATTTTTGGGTGCATAAAAAAACTTAGACAAAATTATACCACTAAAAAAATTTAGAAATAAACTTGAGAAATAAATATACATCTTTATTATTTAGTTAACATCATTAAATATAGAAATAAAAACCAAAATTTGTTAATAGTACAAGGATCATAACCAGAACTAAGTGTAGGATGAGTTTTAGTTTTAATTTCTATACTTCTAAAGAGTTTTTAAGAAATGTTAACTTAAGCTCAGATCATGCCCTGTCCTATGTTCTTATGAAATCATATGAACAAAAAATCACGGTTTGAAGCAAAACTGAAATTCGATTAACCACAGAAACAGCAGTAACATTAACCCTTAATAGTTATCTTTAATTAACGACGAAGTAATTGAGCAGCAAGCAGAAGCATAAAGTTGCCCTAATTTGAGGGATCTGTGGCGTGGGTGCCCCATTGGGTGTGGCCATGATCATCCGAGAGGTTGAGGCGGCCAATCCGATGTTGCTCGACTTGCAGTTGAGATTCTTGACGGCGTCGCCGACGTCTGATTTGTTGTTTAGACAATTTAGGTTCAATCTCAATGCTCACCTTCTCGCCCTCGCTCACCACGTAGGTGTGTTTATCTTCATCGATTCGAACCGTCATGATAAAACTCATTCTGTTTTCTTCTTCTTCTCGCTGAAAATCAAAGAAACCAGAAAATTATGTTATGTGGGAGTCTGAGAAGCAAAATCAAAGTATACCAAGAGTTTAATTCCTACCTTAATGGATTCTTCTTCTCTTTTCTCCGATTCGAATTCCCTTTACAGCTCTCCGCTCTGTTCTTATAGCCAGCGAAAGGGAAAAGATAGGATGGCATTGGGGATCGAACACGAATTAAAATCTGTTGTTCCTCTCTCGCACGCATTTCCTTTCTTGGCTTTGTGATTCAATTTCTGCTAATTCCTCTCTGCTGCTGCTACGTACGTTTTACATGAAAGAGGAAAGGGGGAGCAGTGAATAATTGGTATGGGTGATTTTACCCGTCCTGAGTCACATAACCTACCAAGGGTTTAAGTAGTCACATAACCTACCAAGGGTTTAAGACATTTTTACTTTTTAGCCCCTTGGTTTCGACTTTCGATTGCATTAGCAATTTTTTTTTTTTTGCCAGTAAAGGCAACCCTTTTTTTTTTTTGAATAAAGGGGAAATATATTAAAACCAATATTTACAGAGGAGAAACAACCAGACTAGGCAGTAGTGGTTATAGAGTTAAGAACCTCTGCTGCCATAGTGGTATGATGCGCTAAACTATGCGCTATTCGAATAATACAATCCGGCGTTCTAGACTCATTGCTAAAGATGATTCTATTCCTATTATCCCAAAATTTCCAAACGAGGATGCCAAAGAAGATTCGCCACTGAGTGCTTGAGTAGTGCGGGTTGAGGTTCCGTGCTATCCAGTCTATGGGAAGCTGGAAAAATTCTTGCCTCCTTGAGGGTGGGATGACTTTCAGCCAACAGTTAAAAGCCACGGGGCAGCGCCGTAGGACATGGTCAATATCTTCAATTTCGCAACCACATATTTCGCAGGTAGCACTATGAGTCATTCCCCTCTTGACTCGTTCCACATTCGTTAGGAGGCGCTGCTTCAAGATGAGCCAAAGGAAGGTTCTAATTCGTTGCATTCCCGGCCATTTCCAGGCTAGGTTCCAATTGTTATTCTGATTTTGCCAGGTCGGTTCTTGGGAGATTTGATAAGCAGAGTTAACTAAAAAATTTCCATTCGCAATAGCTGACCAATAACAAGTATCCAGTTCAGCTGTCCTGTTCGGTGGGGTTATGTCCGCTATTTTGGAGAGGGCTGCAGGGGGGAGGTAGTGTTGAAGACCCTCCTAGTGCCATTCTCCTTCATTAGTGATGTAATCCTTGATAGGCTTTTTTAACAGGTGGTCTTCAATTTCGGTGAGGGCTACAGACTTGAGAGGTCCAAGGCCATTCACCCAATTATCAGACCAGAATCTGGTTGTGTTCCTGTTTCCCAGGTTCCAAGCTACATTGGGTTCTATGTCTTTCCATACTTGTGCGATGCTGCGCCACGTGTGAGAAGTAATTTGAGTTTTGAAATCATAGTTGCTCTCTTTTGACCAGTTGTATTTTCCTCGTAGGACTTGTACCCAGAGTTTTTTTGGTTGACTAATAAGTCCAAAAGCAAGCTTTGAGAGAAAAGCCAGATTTTGGCCGCGAAGGTTTTTGAGTCCACTTCCTCCTCTTTGAGTCGGTTGGCACATTTCCCGCCAGTTCACAAGGCTTGCCTTCCTGCTGTTTTCAACAGATCCCCATACAAAACTACGGATTGAGCGTTCAATCATAGTGATACAGGAGGCAGGTATAGCTGAAGTCTGCATCGTGTAAAAGGGCAGAGCACTAAGTATGGACTTGGCTAGAGTGATGCGGCCAGCTAAGGAGAGAGTTTTGGCTTCCCAATTTGAGAGCTTTTGCTGTACCTTCTCAATGAGATGCTTGTAGGTGTCCTTAGTTATTCTTGAGTGGAGCAACGGAACTCCAATATATTTCCCAAGTTGCTCAGTTTTTTGGAATCCCAGTTCTCTGCAAATTTGTTCTGCCTCTCTTCTGGGAACATTTTTTGAGAAATGAATTCGGGTCTTAGCTTCACTGACCACTTGACCAAATGCTAAACAAAAGTCTTGGAGCACTTTTTGGATCAGTCTTATTTGTTGTGGCGAGGTGTTACTGAATAGAATTAAGTCATCTGCAAAAAAGAGGTGAGAGAGGGGAGGGCCGTTGCGTCCAAGTTTGATGCTTCCCCAATTATTTAGTTGAACCTCCTTGGCAATGGCTTGAGACAGTCTCTCCATACAGAGTACAAAAAGGTAGGGGGATAATGGGTCACCCTGTCTAATGCCTCTGGTAGGAGTAAAGGGTTGTGAGGGTTTACTGTTCCACATAACCTGCATGGTTGGAGTTGTGATGCAATGCATAATCAAATTTATTATTTTCTCTAGTAGTTGCGCATCCCACAAGGTATCTTTGATGAAATTCCAATCAAGCTTATCAAAAGCTTTTTCAAGATCAGCTTTTATGGCAAGCCATCCTTTTTTGCCTTGTTTTCGGCGCATTGAGTGTATGACCTCTTGAGCTATAATAATATTATATGTTATGCTTTTGCCATTGATAAAACTGGATTGTTGAGGAAGAATGAGTAGAGGCATCATAGGTTTCAGCCTATTCACTACGATCTTGGTGATGACTTTGTAAACTACTAAGCATAGGCTGATGGGGCGTAGGTCTTTTAGAGAGGAAGGTCTTTCAGTCTTGGGGATTAAAGCAATTAGAGTGTTGTTAGTTCCTTCTTCAAAGGGTTGGCCAGCAAGGATGGCATTTGCAAATTTCCAGACAGAGTGTCCCACAATATCCCACTGGCTTTGGAAAAAGAGGGCATGTAGGCCATCCGGTCCTGGGGCTTTCAAAGGTTTCATGTCGAAGAGCGCTTGTTTGACTTCAGCAAGGGAGAAATCAGCATTTAAATTTTCTAGCAAAGTGGAAGGGATGAGAGGAAACTTACCTCGGAGGTTGTAATGGGTAGGAGGATGACTTGGCTTCGTGTAGAGATGGACAAAGAAATCTCTGGCCATTTGTTCAAGTATCTCCTCATTTGTGATCCAATGCCCACTGGTATCTTTTAGAGTGGTGATTTTGTTGTGGGCCTTTCTGATCTTTGCTTTAGTATGGTAATAAGAGGTGTTTTGATCCCCAAGATTAACCCAGCTTGCTCTGGATTTTTGGAACCAGAGAAGCTCTTGCTGGAAGCAAGTTAATTCATAAGCTTCCGTAAGTTCCTTGTTGAGTCGATTCAGGAAGACAGAGGAAGGCTTCTCTTCAAGTGCTTTCTGCAAACCAGAGAGACGGCCCAAAAGTTGACGTTTCTTGAGTCCAATTTCACCAAAGATATCACGGTTCCAAGCCTCTGCCTTTTGACGGAAAGCCAGGATGTTTTCAATTAAAGAGGAGTTGTCTGTCCAGGTGTCAATAACAAGGTCTTTGAATTGTGGATGAGTCAACCAGGAGGCTTGAAATTTAAAGGGGGATTTGGGTCTGATCCATCCACGGGTTGGTTCGAAATGCAGCTTTACCGGCCTATGATCAGATTGGAGGCTGGGGAGGTGGGTGACTGGAGCTGTGGTATAGGCATTGACCCAGTTTGTGTTAACTAAAACGCGATCTAATCGGGCAAAGGTGAGTCCCCTACGCCAAGTGAATTTTGGCCCCGAATATCCAAGGTCCACCAAGTGGTTGTCCGATACAAAGGATTGGAATTTTGGGCAGCCGTCTCTGGCTCAGCCCGATGTGGTTCTTCTCTCTGAGGAGTTCAAAACTGCATCGAAATCTCCAGCCAAAGCCCAAGGCCCAGTGACAGAATGAGCAATTGTCGTGAGGGAAGGCCAGAGCTGTGATCGTATGATGGAGCTGGGACTTCCATAGACTGCTGTGAGGAAGAAATTTTTATGTGTTTGTAAGTCGCATACTCGGCCATGTATGAATTGCCAGTGGTTGTGAAGAATTTCAATTTGCACTCTATCAGTCCAGAGGATCCAGATGCCGCCGGAAAAACCACTAGCTTCTACTCTATGGGTGTTATGGAAGTCAATGGATTTAATGATTCTATCCGCTGTTGAGCCAGAGATTCGTGGTTCCACCATAATTAGGATGTCGATCCTATGATCAGCAACAAAGGATTTAAGCACCGAGCGGAATTTACTCGTTGCCGCACCTTGACAATTCCAAGAGAGAATATTCATGAAGAAACAAGACAGAGTTAGCACTCCATGTTGGAGCGCTGAGGTTCCTCCTCTTCACTAAAACTATCGTCTGACAGTTCATCTTTATTAGCCGAGTATTGGCTATCCAGGGCCTTTGTGATGGCCTTGAGCGCAGCGTCTGCTAAGGTGGGTGAGACTTCTTTGGGCCTTGCTTTAATAGATCCAACAGAGAGACCTGGTTGAATCTTGAGGCCCAGCTTGGGTGGTGATTTATCGGGTGGCCTGGGATGGATATTTTCCTTGTTTTTCCCGGTGTGGTGGGTTATCCTGGTTGAGGGGCGTGTTGGGCTAGTGTTGTTTGGGCTGGAGGAATGGCTGGGAATAACTTTAGGGTTGGCAATGGTGCACTACAAAGTGGCGGGTGTCAGGTACGGTTTCTGAAGTTGAGTCCTTATAAGCTTTGCTAGTGAAGAGGGTATCATTTGTGGGTTTCGAGGTAGGCTTTTTTTGTGTCTTGGGTGGATTAGTAATCCTTGCTTTTGGTTCTTTGTTGGTCTTTGGATTGGTGACGGAGGTAGATTTGGCTTTTTGGTTGGTTACATGAGAGGGGACAGGAGGGGGGTTGACAACTTCTGTGGCTTGCTGGAGTGGCTCAGTGTTATTTTCAAGAGAAGCTTCAGGGTGGCATAGGACGTCAAACCTCGTCCTTGAGCTAGCATGCTTTGGGTAACTTGTGTCAGATTGCTTTTTTGTATCTATGAGGAATCGGTGCCTAGAAGACGGAGTTTGCATCCACGCGCCATAGGGGTTCGTTTCTTCCACTTCGTCTGCCGCCGGGTTTCCTACTACCGGAGTCTGGGTTGTAGCTGGGGCCTACGGTGGTGGTTGTTCCGTTACTTGCTCGGGGGTCTTCAAGGGGCATGTTTCTACCAGGTGTCCGTATCTCCCATAGGTATAGCAAATAGTGGGTAGACCTTCATACTCCACAAAGAGCCCTTTACCATCCACGGTGATCTTGGACGTGAGGGGGGTTGATAGGTCTAGGATGATGGCCATCCTAGCAAATTTGCCCCTTTCTCCCGAAACAGTATTATAGTCTATCTTAATGACTTGGCCGAGTATTTCTCCAATGGCTCAAATGATATTCTTCTTGTAATACTTAGTTGGAAGACCGGGAATACGGATCCAAGCAACCACTTGGGATATGTTGTGATGGATCGGTGAGAAGTCTGGTGTCCA